ACTTATTGTTGATTATAGTCACTTTGTTGTGCTATCAAATATTGTTCATTCTATCTAACTATATTTTTGTGCCCACTAACCATCCCCACTTTATCCCCCCCCTCCCTGTTATCCTTCCCACTGTCTAGTAACCATTCTACTCTCTGTCTTCATGAAATCAATTGTTTTTAATATTTAGCTCCCACATATGAGTGAGAATATGGAAGATTTATCTTTCTGTGCTTGGCTTATTTTGCTTAACATGTTCTCTAGTTCCATCTATGTTGTTGCAAATGGCAGGATTTCATTCTTTTTTGTGGCTATATAATATTCCATTGCGTATATATACCACAATTTCTTTATCCATTCATCAGTTGATGGACATTTAGGTTGATTCCATATCTTGGCTATTGTGAAAAGTGCTACAATAAACATGGGAGTGCAGACATCTTTTTGATACACTCATTTTCCCTCCTTTGGATATATACCCAGCAGCAGGATTGCTGGCTCACATGGTAGTTCTATTTTCAGTTTTTTGAGAAACCTTTACACTGTTCTTCGTAGTGGTTGCACTAATTTACATTCTCACCAACACCATTTGTTACCACCTTTTTAATGAAAGCCATTTTAACTGGGGTGAGGTGAAACCTCATTGTAGTTTTGATTTGCATTTCTCTGATGATTAATGATGTTGAGCATTTTTTCATATACTTTTTGGCCATTTGTATGTCTTCCTTTGAGAAATATCTATTCAGATCCTTTGCCCATTTTTTAAATCTGATTGTTTGATTTTTTTTCCTATTAAGTTGCTGAAGCTCCTTATCTACTCTAGTTGTTAATCCCTTGTCAGATGGGTAGTTTGCAAATATTTTCTCCCAATCTGTGGGTTGTCTCTTCCCTTCATTGATTGTTTCCTTTGCTGTGCAGAAGCTTTTTTGCTTGATGTGATCCCATTTGTCCAATTTTGCTTTGGTTACCTGTGCTTTGGGGGTATTACTCAAGAAATCATTGCTCAGACCAATGTCTTGAAGCGTTTCCCCAATGAAGTAAACATGATTTGATAAGCATCTCATTGACACAGTATGAGAAGAGATTATATAATGAACATTTCTGGGAAGCAAACAACAGTGAATGTCTTCTAACCACTCACCCAGCGAATATGAAGTGGCAGAATCTAGCTAGAGTATAATTCTAATTTTTTTTAGGTGAACTTTTTACAAAAGTTTTTAGGATTTATTTGCAAAGTCAATAATTCTTCCCACCCGCCGTCCCCTCCCCCAATAAGGAGTGCTGATAGTACAATCTTAAATATCTCCTGCTGCTCAGGGCAGTTTGCAGGACCTTACTTAACCTACAAGTTTGGAGGGGAACTATCTTTGACTTTAGGTTTTCAAGCTTCTAAACCTTAAATACTGCTAGATTTATGTATGGAACAAATCTAGCTGTAGTTCTTAAAACTACTTTGCAAGTAAAGATCTATATCCCTTATAAAGAATGTGATTTCAACGTATTTCTAAGTCAAGTCTTCTCTGAACTTAAATTGTTAAAGTTGTGCTTTTTAAAAGCACCCATTGAAATATGGTGGGCTGGAAAGTAGAAAAATTAACATACATTTGCAGTTCCATATGAAATAGCTTGAAACTTGGAACCAATCTCTGGATAACTATTTTATTTATCCTATGAGAATAAACACTCAAATATAATTTACGGGCAAAATGTATATGTTGGTACAAGGATGTGATCAAATGAGGCTTGCGACTAAGAGCATTCAATGACCATTTGGAGGACCAGCTTTTTGATTAATGCCTAATCCATATTGAGAAGACAGTTTTAAGACCATACAGAAGTTGTTGGGACATAGAAGCGCTGATACTTGAAGTTGGGTTGGCAGCAAAGGAAGATATTAGTCATTTACTTTGAAATTCTGACCTCCTTTCCCACGTTTTCCCACTCTCCAATTCCCTGAGCCCAAAGTGTAATTGCACCAAAATATCCCTTAACCAAAAATGTAAGATTAGTATCAGTAGACTCAATTATATAAACCCTATTCTTTTAAATTCATACTATGTTTTTATTATATGCATATATACAGTGGGGATTATTCTTAAAGTGTTTTATGTGGTCATGAGAAAGTGAACTAGTAACTGTTCGGAATAATAAAAAATTGAACAAATGGGGCCTATTTTGTGTTTAGCACTATACTGATTTTGGCCACAAGATGGTGCTCTAATCCTACTGCACAGTTTAGCACACAATGTGCCATTATGGGGAACACTTTTCTACCTGTACAGCAAAGATTGTGTTTGTATATGGCACATGATTACAGTGAAATAGGACTTTTCAAGGCCCCTTACAGCTCTGATATTCTATAAGTATGTTTACAGGAGCTAGCTCACTTCCCTTCAATTCACCTCTGATGCCAAGACATGGATATTTGAGCTTTTTTATATTCGTTGGAAGGAGGGAAAATTGTAGGACTACTGTAGATAAAACTTTTAAGACATTTCTTTTTTGGCCTCTTCTTGCTGTTCCTTTCTCCCTACTTTCTCTGATAGGAGACAATGCACTGCAGAGACAAGGGAATCATTTGTCCACTTGACACTTCCTAAAACCAGATGTAAACATTCACCCCATCAGGGAGGCCAGCTCACACATCCCTGCCCCTCCAGGGATGCCCACTGAGGGTGTTCAGCTGCTAGCTTGCTGC